AAAAAGAAAAAAGCCAGAAGTGGCGCTGTGGCTCAAGTGGTAGAGCGCTAGCCTTGAGCTGAAGAGCTGAGGGACAGCACCCAGACCCAGAGTTCAGGCCCCACGACTGGACCAAAAAAAAAATAATAATAATAATAAAACCACTTCTCTAGCCCTCAACTAATTCTAATCCCTAGAGACCAACCTTCAAGTACCATTAGCATAAATTCAGGGATTGTTACCAATACATGAACCTTTAGAGGACACATTAAAACCATAGCATGGGAAAAACTCTCCACCCCACCCCTACTTTTTTTTTTTGAGACAGGGTCCTATATATGGCCAGGGCTGGTCTCTCCGCTCTTCGTGCCTCTCTTCCCGAGTTCAGGGTCTCAGACCCATGGTGATACTGGGTCAGAAAGTCCAGCACTGAGGATTCTTCCCCGCCCCCAATGCCAGTTCAATTGCTTCCACCTGGACACTGGTGACGGGGTCTGATTCCTTGCTCCTTATTGGGTGTCTCGTTCCTAGAGAGGCCAATCAGTGTCGTCGGGGTCCTGGGTTATAGTTCCCACGGAGTCCTGCTGCTGCTGTGTGTGTGGTGGCGGTAACTCGGACTTGGAAACTGGGTGCTGTGTGTCTACGGGAGGAGCAGTGACCGGGGCCTGGGAGGATGGGCCGTGGGGGGAGGACTGTGGAGAGGGCAGGGCGGGATTGGGGGGGGGGAATGAAGGGACTGTAGGGGCGCAGTTCGTGCGCTTCCACAGCGAGGCCTGGAGACTGAGGACCGAGCCCAGGACGCGTGGCGGGAGCCATGGGTGGAGCAGGTCTGCCCAGGTCCTGGGAGCGGGAGACGCAGAACTCCAGGACACCGCACAGACGTAAGAACCCGCACACCGCGCTGTCCTTGTACAACCTGAGCCCCGACCGAGAGTGACCTCCGCCCGGGTCAGAGGTCACACCCCTCTATCTGCAAGGCCAAGATCTAAGATACCTTGTGGGAGCCGCGAAGCCACTTGGCCTGTACGCGTGAAGAGCAGGCAGCCAGGGCAGGGAGAGGAGCGATGATGATGACCTGTTTCATTTTCAGTTTATTTTGAAATCCAAGGTGTGCGGCCCCAGCTGAGCAGGTGCGCAGAGTTGAGTGGGTGGTCACTAGTGGGCGGGGTTTGCCGTGGGGCTGGAGCGGGGCAGGTCTTCATGCCATCCAGTCTCAGTACTGCTGAGGTGATGTGGGACGGACATCTCGTCCCGGGGTACCGACAGATACCCTCAGTTTGTCTAAGACCAATACTACCTCTCCTGAGCAGGAACTTGAGCTCCTGGAAAGCAGCGGACATGGCCGCTCAGATCCGTCAGCCCAAGTGGGAGGAAGCTGATGTAGCAGAGCATTGGAGGGCAGGTGCATGGAGG